GTTTTAATCGTTCCCTGAACTGGGATGGCAGGAAACATCATCTCATGTAAACCAAAGAGATAAAGAGACACACATATGAATAAACAGTTATTCCAAAACCACAAAAAAGTATAACAAAGGTATACCCTCAGGCAATGCCTTTATATAAATAGAAAATTAAATAAATGGGAAAGGATATATGCAAAATACTACAACACAAAATGATGATTTGAAAACTAACTGTACCCTAGAATTATTTTTTTAAATAAAATCTTACCTAAAAAGTCAATAATGCTAAAGAGCTGATCAAACAAAACCTGACTGATAAAAGGGACCACTCCCTCACAACTTGTATTCTAATGACTAAGACGCAGTGAAAAGCAAGAGAAAACAAACAAAAAAAACCCCTCTCCTCATAAATCAATGTTCTAATAAAGGTGAGAGACAATAAACAAGATAAATAAGAATTAATATACTGGACAGTGGTTAGGTACTAAAAAGGTGGCAAAAAAATAGCAGGAAAGGGGATTAGAAAGTATCATGGAGGGAGAGTGTTACAATGTTAGACACGGTGACCAGGAAAGTCCACAATGAGAAGCAGACATGGAATGAAGATCTAAAACAAAAAGTGAGAGCGTGGGTTGAAGCCTCTGCCTTCAGCTCAGGTCATGGTCCCAGGGTCCTGGGATCAAACCCCCATCAGGCTCTTTGCTCATCGGGGAGCCGGCTTCCCCCTCTCTCTCTGCCTGCCTCTCTACCTACTTGTGATCTCTCTCTCTGTCAAATAAATAAATAAAATATTTAAAAAAAAAAAAAAAAAGGTGAGAGCGTAGCTTGGGCAGCTCAGTTGTTAAGCATCTGCCTTCAGCTCAGGTCATGATCCCAGAGTCTGGGATCAGATAGCCTGCTTCTCCCTCTCCCATTTCCCCTGCTTGTGTTTCCTCTCTCACTGTGACCCTCTCTGTCAAATAAATAAATAAAATCATTAATTAATTAATTAATTAATTTGTAAAGAGTGAGGGAATGAGCCATGAGGACATATGTGAGGGAAGGGCAGCCCATGCAAGGAAACAAGTACAGAGGCCCAGAGCATGAGCTTACCCAACACATTCATTACAGGAGCAGGGAAAAGGCCAGGGAGATTGAATGAGGGGAAGTGATGAAGTCTGAAAGGTAATATGAACCCAGATCACACAGAACTTTATAATCATTGTAAACAAACAAACAAACAAAAAACTGGCCTCTAGTGTGAATCAGATGGGAAGCCACTGAAGGGTTTTGATCAGATCAGTGAGCAGATCTGACTGAGATCTTAAAGGAACAGCATTAGTTGTTACTGAAAAGGTCCTCTATTTACTAGAAAAGGATTAGTGGACTATGACTTAAGAGCCAAATCTGAGCCCAGCTTGTTTTGGAAACAGTTTATTTCAACACAACCATAGTTACTCATTTACATATTCTCTAAGACAGTTTTCACAATCAATGGCAAAAAGTTAAATAGTTGTGACACAAATGATAGGGCTAAAAAGCCTAAAATATTTACTATCTGGCTCTTCAGAGAAAAAAATTGCCACCCTCTGTCCTAAAAAGGCAAAAAAAGTAGGGAAAGAGTTAGGATGTTATTAATTCAGGTGACAAAGGACTATTGGGACTAGGATAGCAGAAATGTATTTGTTAAGAAGTGGAAATATTCTAGACATACTCTAAAGATACAATTGAATACAGTTGATACAGATACACCAAAGGTATATATTTTAAATATATATATATGTATATATATATTTAAAAATGAAAGACTTCTTAAAATAAAAATGTAAGTTACCAAATGCCTAATAGCCAAATAAAGGTATTACTGAAGATCTCATATAAAATGTCAAGTTTTAAGCAATGTAACTTCTTGATGAATTCATGTAAAATTACTGGATCCACCAAGAGCCCATTCCTACCAACTGGGGTTTTCCCAGCAATATTAAGGCGTCAGTTCAATAACTAAAGATCTAACTTGAGCCCTTGACATTTAATCCATGAATGATTCCAGTCCATTAAGTCAAAGGTTATGCAAAAAAAAGGAATCAATAAAATCTGTAATCTTTTATTGTTTCAAGGAGAATTTTCTACATGGTAAAAGAGTGTGACAAATCATACTTTATCACAGAAGAAACTACCATATGTTTTACATGAAATATAAGTAACTTGAAGGTTAACTAAATGGTGTAAAATATAATCACATAAATTTCAGTCAGCATAACTGAATCTGTGCTATTGCTGTTTTAGTAATAAATATGTTGTATCATAACATGGTTTGAATATTCTAAATAACCTGGAATTTTCACAAAGTGGATCAGAAAGAATAGAAAGTTCAAATGGATCCTCACCAATGAGAGAAAGTACTATGTCAGAAGGCTATAAAAAATCATTAAAATATGGTAAGGTATGTGAAGTCACTGGATGAAACTGAAGTCTAATTCTTTTTCAACCTTTCTTTTACTGCCTATATAAAACAGCCATTAAGAAGAAATCCTGCTTAACAAACAAGTCTTTAAAAAAGCGGAAAGATTTCTAGAATGTCATAGAAAATTGAAACAGAAGATATGCTCACAAACAATAGATCTGTTTTAATTTAAAATGTTTCTTAATTAAATATACTATTATATTACATGAATCTTAGTCTATAGAAGCACAATCATAAGAAGTAGCCAAGAACTTCTTTTAACAGAATGATTACTGCCAAGAGCAAACCTCACTGATATAGATTCATAAAAAGTCTTGGGTTTTAAAACATTGTTCTGAAATCTTTATAATTTTCCAATTCTATTTTATAATAAGATACCAGAAACATATGCAAATATGTTTTAAATCATTTCCCCCCCAAAAAATATACATAACAAGGCAGTAGTATATGGCTCCTCCATGCATTTTCTTTTTATTTTTTTAAAGATTTTATTTATTTTAGAGCGCATATATGGGCACATGTGTAAGCATGCGGGGGAGGGGGCAGAGGGAGAGAAAACTTTAGCAGACTCTGCATTGAGTAAAGCCATGGCCTCTTGATCGCATGATCCTGAGATCACAACATGAGCTGAAACCAAGAGTCAGACCCTTAAATGACTGCGCCACCAAGGCACTTCCAACTTCACACATTTTCCTTAGCTACTATCTACCCACCCCCCAAAAAATGGTGAATGGTGCTATACAAAGGAACCCAAACTACCATAGTATGAAAGGTAAAGTTCTCAATAAGTTCTAAAAGAAACAGCTACAAAGGAGTTTCCAGACTGCAAAGCTCAGAGTTTGCCACAGTACAGTAATAACCTAACAGATTCTGTGATCTTAAGTATTCGCCTGGGATTACCTGGTCTTCTAAATCTTACTTGTATTGCCCCTCTGCACTTCTGTTCACCATCCTGAATTGTAGTCATAACTAATCCACTGAACCCTATTATATAATTCATTATACCTCTGTTTCTGCCTAAGAGCTGTGAAAATGTTCAATGTTTACCCAGTACCCTTCATCAGTCAATCAAAGTACAATTCATAAGAATCAGAGACTGATATAAAACTATGTACCAACATATAACTGCTATAGAATTTATTTATTCAAAAAATATATTACTGTAAATCTACACAACAAATTTTCATCAGATTATCTTTTTCACTTGATTCCTGTCTATAGATAAAGATAAGTAAGATAAAGACCCTATATAATAAGCATGTTATCATATGACACAAAAATTTAGCCAGTAAAAGAAGTAACTCAACGAGAGACTTGGATATACCACAGATCCACCATGAATACACAGCAAGAATTACCAAGCAAACACTCAAATACCTGCCTACATAAGAAAGTTAAAGAAGCAACAAAACTTAGTCTCAGGACTCCTTAAGTCTTAAAACTTATTGGAGCCCAAAAGAGCGTATGTAAGTTATTTATAGACGGTCTCTGTATCAGAAGTTAAAATAATAAATAAAATTTGAATATATTTATTCATTTTAAAATAATCTCATCACATGTTAAGATAAATAACATTTTTATTAAAAATACTATAATTTACATACACAAATTCAGTGAGAGGATTGGCACTGTTTTACATTTTTGCAAATCTCTTTAACATCTAAATAGCCCACATAAAAGAATAGTGGATTCTCAAAACATTCTCAAAAAATAGCTGGATTCTCAAAACTATTTCCACATTATGTTATACTGTTATGTGTTATATAATCTCTGAAAATATCCACTATTGCTCATAAGAGAATTAAGAGTAAAAAAAATGTATATACCATTCTCATAATTGTTACAAAGATAGTTTTAACCTTATAGACCCTTTGAAAGAATATTAAGGTGTCCCCAAAACATACTCTGAAAACAACTGACTACTTAATCTAAAACTAATAAACCTGGAAGGAAAATTATGAAATAAAAAACAATTGTAAAGAGAGAAATACAGATACAGAAGATGGGGTAATGATTTTATTTACAGAAAGAGTAAGGTTATCCAAGATGCTGACATTTTAATGCTTTAAAACAACCTGGATTATGTTTCATTTTATCTGTCAGATATATCTGTCACTATAAGAATTTTAGTTAACAGGGACGCCTGGGTGGCTCAGCTGGTTAAGCAGCTGCCTTCGGCTCAGGTCATGATCCCAGCGTCCTGGGATCGAGCCCCACATCGGGGCTCAGCAGGGAGCCTGCTTCTCCCTCTGCCTCTGCCTGCCATTCTGTCTGCCTGTGCTTGCTCTCTCTCCCTCTCTCTCTCTCTGACAAATAAATAAATAAAATCTTTAAAAAAAAAAAAAAAAAAAGAATTTTAGTTAACATATTTTCCAAATGCCTAACTAGCTTTCAAACTGAAAAAAACTCATATACTGTTTACTTTTGGAATTTTAGATCAGTGATCTGGGCAAAGACTTTTAAAATAAGCTTGTTATTTTCTTTTATGATGCACACCTGTTGTGGGACATTTATAGTCATGAGACATCTTATGAACATATTCAACAACAATGAGTTTAAATAAACCCACCTCTTCTGCTGCTGCCTCTGAAAGCAGACCTTCCTTCTGGGCACAGGTCACATGGAAATAGGCTCTGCACATCCCTGCATCACAGCTAATACAAACTCCAGTTCTAGCAAAACGAGGGTCTTCACAAAAGCTACACTCCTACAATGGAATAATAGGAAAACTCTCAGAATAAAAATATCTCTAGAACAAGACTGCATTCTCATACAAAGTATCCATAAGATACAAATAGTGAATCAATAGCATATTAATAGAAACAGTAATTAAAGGCAAGAAAAGCGTTTATATGAAAAAATTCTCTCTATAGTTCCAATAAACCAAATTCCACTGATATAAAAATGATGACAATAATAATAATAAGTTGAAGGTTTACTATGTGCTAGGCACTATTCTAAGCACTTCATATCTATTTGTACGTAACCATACTGTGGAACCTTCCACTCTAATATGTGGAATGGGTATTATCTCCATTTTACATATGAGAATACGGAGCTGAAGACAGGTTAAGAAATCTCCTCAAAATAACACAAAAAATAACTGCCAAGTCAATATTCAAACCAGGGTAATCTTACTTTAAAGTCCATGCTCTTAACTATTAACCTATACTGATTTGAACAATATAATACTGCTTGGAAAATTTAAGAAAATAAGTAAGAAGTCAGAGAAAAATTCACCAAAAAATCTAGGCAACACAGTCCAAGAAATTATGTATTTTTAAAATACATTTAAGAGAATTAAATACTATTAAATTAAAGAGAAATACTTTAAAGAGAATTAAAAGTAATCTTAAGTAAACAATTTAATTTGTTGTGATAGATATTACAGCCAATTATATCCTTTCTGAATACAAAGGAAAAAACTGTAAAACTAAAAGTTAGTTTAAACCTGAGATTGCTCCCAATTCCCCCAAATTGACTTTATCCTTTTCACTATCTAAAGCACAAAGAAAAAAAAATTTGGTCTAAAATATAAATTACTCTAGTGATTATAATCTTCATAAAAGAAAACCCTACTAAATTCTGAAAGACTGCCAATTGACAATTAAAGAACTGTTTCTAGTAAATACATTCTAAGTAAATTAGATATAAGGGAAACATAAAGAAAAAAATTTATAAGTTTCAAAAGATACTAAAAATGTCATTTTAACAGTGTACATATTGACTATCTTATAGGTAGACAGCACCAAAGTGATACATCAGCAATGAATGAAAACAGCAAGAACAGAACTCTGGGCACAGATGTGAAAACACACCCAAATCCTGACACTCTACTGCTTGGTTATGTGTCTTTTTTCAATAACAGTAGAAGATGTATGGTATAAAATCCTAGCAAATAGCAATCTAAACATGAAACCAAAAAAGGAGAGAAAGAATGAGACAGGAGAGAGGAAGGAAGAAAGAGAAATGAAGAATTATTTCAAGAATATCAATAGCACAAACAGAACCAAACTGTTCTGTTCAGGATAGTTCCCAAACTAATTCAATGTAATATGATGAAGTAGAGCAAGGGATTTCAGAGTGAATACAAGGAAAAATTTCCTGACCATAAAGTCTTGAGAAGACTGTACAACAATCTAGTAAAGAAAAGGGAATTTTCTCAATTGCTTGAATCATTTAAAATGCTAGGGAACTAAGCAACTGAGAACTCAAGAAAGCAAGCAACCAGGATTAGGAAATGGATAGACAGGTCTAGAAGAGCTCATTTTACAAATGAGCTAGAAAATACATTATTTTTTACTCCACTTCCTGGTCATCAAAACAAAAGGTGATAATGAAAAATCAGGTCACAACTGCATATTTAATGATTCTCTTATTTGGTTCAGAGGTCACTGCAGGCTTCAGATATATGAAGTAATATCTGGTCCCTGTGTTTTTCAGTGCTTGTAGATTTGTATTTATGATACTAATGTCTGTCTACTGAAAATTACTTAAGTTAGTCCCTTCTAGGCTCTGTGTGAATTATGAAACCGTTATCAAAAAGCAGTACCTTTCACTTCCAATAATGGTGCACTAGGCAATTCGTACTAATCCTGCTAGAAACTAGAAAATATGGACAAACTTTTTTAAAACTATAACTTAAAGGCATCAGAGAAATAGTAACATAGTATAAAATTACCTGAGGACCAGGAAAGTAAGTTCAGTGCTTGGGCCTGTTTTTCTCCCTGGGGACTTTAGCTAATTTTGGAGAGGGAACTGCAGATAGTTCAATAGAAATTACCCAAACTAAAGCACAAGAGCTTTGGAGTGAGGCTGGAGGGTGAGGGATGCAGGTGGTGGTTAGAACCTAAGGAGGATATTCTGGATATAACAGCAGAAACTGTCAAATTCTTGAATTTTCAGGGGCGCCTGGGTGGCTCAGTGGGTTGGGCCGCTGCCTTCGGCTCGGGTCATGATCTCAGGGTCCTGGGATCGAGTCCCGCATCGGGCTCTCTGCTCAGCAGGGAGCTTGCTTCCCTCTCTCTCTCTCCCTGCCTCTCTGTCTACTTGTGATCTCTGTCTGTCAAATAAATAAATAAAATCTTTAAAAAAAAAAAAAAAATTCTTGAATTTTCAATATCAGAATTTTCCAACAACCTGTAAGCTTCCCATCCCACTTTAATGTGTTACTAATGCTTTTCAAGAGTCTTCCTTCCCAATTTCCCAAAAGACAGCAATGGAAAAGAATGTTATCAGTGCCTAATTCATTCTAATATTACAGGCATGTCTGTGGTAATTTTATACCTAAATTTAAATTAATAAGTGTATTTTTATCACTTATAATCCTAAAGCTCAAGCAATAAAAACCAATTCATAAACTTGAGGCTGACAGGTTGCTGAACAGGTTATGTAGTCTTTAAAAAAACAAAAAACAAAAACACAATACTCCTTCAATTCTAAGTAAAACATCAGGTGCCTTTTGTACTCTTTTCATAATTTTGGTAAATTCCACTTCAAAAGTAAAGTCAGAAATAGGTTTGTATTTGTTCTGACTGGTCTGAAAATTCGTATGTGCTAAGAAGTGTGCTAAATGCCACCGAAATGAAAGTAGACTCAATTATCATTTTACCCTACAAGTTACTTTAAATTAAGAATACATGAAAGAATTTATAAATTATGGGCTTTCTGGGAAAATTACTATCAATAATAGATGGTTAAGTGCTAACTGCTCTACAAATAGTATAATAAGAATAAGCATTTCTATACTCAATAATGATACGGACATTAGTAAAAAACCATATGAACTAGTAAGTAAAAATTTTCTCTTTTAAACAATCAAGAAAACTTTGTCTCACCTTGGCACCATATTTGGAATAGTTCATTTCTGTTAGTGTTACTGGTCGTAATTTGTCAATATCTCCAAAGGCTACTCCGGGAACATATAGGGCACATACAATGTGAACCCATCTATGAGGAGAGAAAATATGATTTTGCTATCAAACCCTTTCATAAAATGCCCAAGAGGAAAATAAACATAAAATATGTGCCATCTCAAATAACTACTGAAAGAATTCTATGGTCAGATCTCAGAATCTCACATACCTGAAGAATACGGAATAAGCACAACTGCAATAAGTAGTTTTCTAGCACTTAGCCAAAGTGAAGAGTGAACAACTATAATTGCCCGTTACTTCAATTCACTGCTCTTTGCACTCACCTGTTATTCTTAAATATTTGCACAAAACCACTATTCGAATGAAACAAAACATCATTTTCTTATGCGTGGAAAGGTACTCACATTCATTATTTTAAGCACTGAGAAATAAGGATCTAATTTAAGAACTGTGCAGTAATTCTGCAGTCATTAGGTAAATTGTTCTTCCTTGTTACTTTTTCTAAAAGCTGTTGGAATAGTCCTTCAGAACACTTTAAAACAATTTTTGGTGTTCATCCTGACTTTCTCTCCAGGTTAAAACTGATTCCTGAAGACTGCCCAGAACAGTTGTAATAATAAAAGGAAGTCCTATTTCACTCATCTGTTCACCATACAAACTATGCACTAAAACTTACATGCCCCATGTATTTTTTTTAAGTCTGAATGATGCACAACACTAAACAAAGAATGCTCAAAACTAAAAGGGGAGCTGATTCTAATTTCTTTTTTTTTTTTTTGAAAGTTGCGCTGAAACTTTTGAAATGCATTAGGAACCCCTTCTGTTCATATACAACCACACAATATACGGATCACCGGATTTTGAATTTTAAACAGATCTACAATACTTCTCTAAGAAAGAAGGTAAAAATGAGATAGCAAATCTCTCTTAATCTTGTGACTACATTAATAACAAATTCTGCTTTATCACAGCTTGAGAGGCTATGATGGCTACATGGTTGTGTTTTGTGACACACTATAAATTTTAAAAGATTAAGATTAAGAATCATTTTATAGAGGCACTGGGAAAAACAGTTACAAATCTTTAGAAATTATCTTTTTTATTGAGAAGAAAATCCAAGATTTTGAGATTTTCTTGATAAAATGTTTTAATCCAACTTCCCAAATGCATCCTGTGGAGTTCAATATAAAGATACACATCTTCAACAAGCAGCTGCTTTCTCAATTTAATTTGCGCAGGTTTTTCATGCTCCACTGGTGTATTAAATGCCACTGTACTCTGTAGGAGTTTATCTTTGATAAACCCAACAGCTGGCTGCTTGCTTCATAGTGACCTTCTGAAAATGTTTTAGTACAAGTCATGCAAGTACTACAGATTTAAACTGCCATTTCAGTGTGACTGGCACACAAGTGTATCATTTCCCCAACCACTGATGTGAGGATGTCAACTTGAGTCTTTACTAAAATGCATATCAAACAGCTGAGACAATTTTGTTCCTTTTTAATACCTGTTGTGAATAATTTTTTGTTCATTTGTTTAATTGTACATACTTTAGAACTCTGTAATTAAAACAAATGAAGAAATCAAAAAGGAAAAATCTTTGCTACTTTAACATTCATTCTGGAGCTATGAGGACAGATGTTGACTGGGGAAAGGAAAAAGAAAACAAGCACCACATAAAACCACCAAAAAATGAAGAGTCAAAATTGCCATTCTAGCATGGAAACTAGTAATATATCATTTAAAACATGTATTTTAAAAAAGCAAACTAACTAGATTTATCTAGGACTCACTTAGAATGGGAACTACTTTAATCAATCAAATTCGATTTTGAAATGCTTTGTATCTGTAGTGCCTTTACAACATGTAAAATAAATCCACTTCCACTATGTTATTTTCATTTTTCTTTTATTCATTCAGTAATCAATTACTAAGTGACTCTGAGGAACGGAGCACCACAAAGGCAGTTTGAAAGTTATTATTACTTAACATGAACTACTTGTAGCACAGTGTTAGGCATGAAATCTTTAAGGATTAGAGCTTATCTAATACTTCCCATAATCAGGTAGATAGAAGCTACTTGAGACAGGGTAAAATACTCCTCCTAACGAATGGAATAAAAATTGAATGACAAGAAAAAAAAAAATTGAATGACGGGGCACCTGGGTGGCTCAGTCGTTAAGCATCTGCCTTCAGCTCAGGTCATGATCCCCGGATCCTGGGATTGAGCCCAGCATTGGGCTCCCTGTTTAGTGGGAAGCCTGCTTCTCCCTCTCCTACTCCCCCTGCTTCTCCCTCTCTCACTGTGTCTCTGCCAAATAAATAAATGAAATCTTTAAAAAAAAAAAATTAATGACAAAAAGTACTGATGGTTTCCACACATTAAAGCACATCATTCTCTATGTAGAACGGCTCCCATCAGAATCAGAGGGGAAAAAGTCTAATTAGCCTATGTGATACACAGTTTCAATACCTTTTTCATTCTTTTCCATACTGAAGCTAGAATACTAAATGACTTGTCAAATTTTGTCTTTTTTTTTTTTTGCCTTGAATCAAAGTATATCCAGCTTTAACCATATCCTTCAAACTGTATCAAGACCTATAATTTCCACCATAGCCTATAGATGAATGTGTGCCTCAATGCAAATAAAATGTTCAAATACTATAAAAAGAATTTCTGCCAGGCTGTACCATCAAGGGAAGTTATATACAGGTAAGATCCACAAGAGTCAGTACAAATATTTCTCAGTGAATCTAAATAAAAGGGCCTCTCTTTTCTCCATTCAGAAACAATTTTACAAGTTATTTTGTGGTTTATAATAGCATGAAAAGACAGATACTTTACAGTTTTTCAACAGAACTTTCAACTTATGAACAAGTAAAGAGGTAAAACAAATTCTTTTCCCTAAAAGGAAGCTCTGTGTTTTCCAAAGTTGTCTTACTTATTCACCACGATTTATCACCAAAAATTTCAACTGTCAGGACGAAATAGTTATCAGGAGGAATTTATGCAGCTGGTACTCTATGATCACCTTAAGGAAATGGAATACTGGTAATAGGAAAAGCAACAGAAGCAGCATTAGAAATAAGGAGACATTTATAACTACTTATTATGCTCCAGAAACTGTATTGTTCTATAGGAATCACCTCTTTCCTCTCAAAAGTACTAAGAAAATGGAGGTTTTGAAAGGTTAAATCACATGCCTATAATCCCAGTTATTAAAAAAAGACCAGAACTCAAATATATGCAGTCCAACTTAAAAACCTATACTTTTCGTGCTGTACTAAATTCCCTAATTCTGGGCCCAAATCAGTCCAAACATGAAATAATACTCAGGTCTACGATAGAGACTAAAGATTCATGTCAATACATCAAGTCATTTGTTATGCCTCATATTTTACTTCATCTTTTTGGATGTACAATGAGGAAGAAGAGCTAGGATTTTCAGCCATTTATCCTACACATCAACACACAGGGTTCTCCAAGATTCCATGGTAGGTTCTATGCTATCCCAACAACTTGTATGGCAACATTTCTCAGGGGCCTTTCCACCAACTGAGGGAAATATAAGAAAAATATTTTTGACTTTACTAATGTAACATGTATCAAATTTTAAAGACTATCTTTATTTTGGGATAAAATGTATCCTAACCTTTTCAATGTTAAAATATAGAAAATAATGCTGAAAATTTACATACATTATTTTATCATTCATGTATATTAAATATTTTTAAAAATACTGAAATAGTTCATCACAAAATAAAAAAATCACAAAATAAAAAACAACATCACAAAATAAAAAACTTATTTTAGTACTTCTCTTATATGGGAGAGGATGGGGTACGGGATGGGGAGGTCAGGTAGGTAATGATCCATAAAATATAAGAGGGCAGAAACTACTCTTAAACTACCCAGATGGTAGTCTCTTGGTCAAAAACATGAAAAATGTCAACATAATTATGATGACAATTGCTCAAATGTAGTAATAAAGATGAGTATGAGTGTAGTTAAAAAAAAAAAAAGAAAGAAAAAAAAGAAAAGAAACATAGGTCTTTGTGCCAGTTACCAATTTATTGCCTCTCAGCTCCAAATCCACCTTAAATACCTGCTATGCAATAACGGACAAAATCCCTTCAGCATTTCTCCTTTACAGTGAGCATGATATGAAGCTGTCTTAGTAGAAGTGGTAGAGAGCACAGGAGGAAAGCACTTCGCAGTAGGGATGATGAAGAGCAACTGCCAGGGTTCTGCCCCAGCCACATACGGCAACTACTGACTCTGCGACCTCACCCTAGCCTGAAGATCACTTTTCTATGGCCCTCTTAACAAGGACCCACATACTGCAGACACCACACTGGTGCCCCGGTTCCCTCTCCAGCTTGTGTCTAGACACCCACTTGCCAAGAACTAAAGACCCAGTTCTAACCCAGGCAAACCAGTAAGCATCTCTGCCATCTAAAAGGTTGCAACTACACCTTCTCCATTACCGTCTGAACTCCAGCCTTGGCCGGGGGACTGGGGGGAGGCGGGAGTCTTCCAAGTTTGTCATTCCCTGGATACTCTCCCTCAGCTTTAGGGTATCCTTTAGAGTTCTTTTATATTGCAGTAACTTTTTTTTTTCCTTTTCTTTATTTATTTAAATTCAATTAGCCAACAGGTAGTACATTATTACTTTTTTTTAAATTACTTTTTAATTAACATATAATAGTATTACTTGTTTCAGGGGTACAGGCTGTGATATCACAGTTACTCTTATCATAGCATAATAATTGTGTAAAGTTCCCCTTTAAAACCACTGTAAGGGTTCTGTCTTCTGGTATACTTTTGAAATCAGACAGATCTGGGCTCAAATCTGACTGCTTACCTGCTTATGGCCTTGATCAAATTAAGATTACTTAATGATCTGAGCCTCAGGTACTACACCTATAAAATGGCAAACTTTAGCACCTCTCATTATCTCATTAACGATGATGGGATTAAATGGGATTAAATTAATGGGATTAATGGGATTAAATGGGACTATGGTTATAAAGGCAAATGCAGGTAACCAATAAAGTCTTTCCTCCCTCTTCCCCTGATCTGTAGCCTACTGTTCTTTTACCCTATGCCAAAAAAAGTACAAAGAAACAATCAAGCAAAAGTTTGTAACTGAAAAAAATTAGGATAGTCAGAAGCAGACACATTATAAAGCAGGCATATTAACCCATCAGAATTATGACATCAACCTTCCAGCATCTGTCTCCTTGAAAATTCCATCCTGATTAGGACACAGTTCACAGCTAGGGGAAACACCACATTTACAGGCATCACAAAACCAAGGTTCCGTGGAGTTTTCAGAAGCTGAACTCATAATAGAGTCACTCTCTCCATCAACTCCATAGCAACCTAAAAAAAAAAAAAAAAAATATGATTAAGTAGGTTACTGTTTAACTCATTTATAAAATTACAAAAGAAAAAGGGAATTAGAGAACAAATCTGAAAAATTAATGGTTTATAAGAATGATATTAAAGGGGCGCCTGGGTGGCTCAGTGGGTTAGGCCGCTGCCTTCGGCTCAGGTCATGATCCCAGGGTCCTGGGATCGAGTCCCGCATCGGGCTCGCTGCTCAGCAGGAAGCCTGCTTCCCTTCCTCTCTCTCTGCCTGCTTCTCTGCCTACTTGTGATCTCTCTCTGTCAAATAAATAAATAAAATCTTTAAAAAAAAAAAAAAAAAAAAAAAAAAAGAATGATATTAAAGTCAAAACAGTGAAATAATTTTATAAAAGTATTTTTTCACCTACCATAGTATGTACAATGAAACAAAAATGACCTTTTAAAATAATTTTACATCTATTGGAACAGCATTACGGGAATAGAAAAATGTATAGTTCTTTAAAAGATTACATAAAAACAGGGCGCCTGGGTGGCTCAGTTGGTTGAGCGACTGCCTTTGGCTCAGGTCATGATCCCGGAGTCCTAGGATTGAGTCCCACATCAGGCTCCCAGCTCCATGGGGAGTCTGCTTCTCCCTCTGACCTTCTCCCCTTTCATGCTCTCTCTCACTCTCTCTCTCTCAAATGAATAAATAAAATCTTTAAATAAATAAATAAATAATAAAAGATTACATAAAAATAGAAATTTTCATTAAGGAGAAATGAAATTGCAGCTAGGAACTACTGATTAGTATTTATGGAGCTCCTTTTATAATGGACACTTAAACTTATTTAAGACCATGCTCACACAAAACAAATAGACAATCAAAAAAGTCTCTAACTTTGAAGATGACAGGTAAAACACAAACTCCTATAACCATAAACACAAGTTAAGTATTAGTAAAAGAAAAATACATAAGAAACCCACACAGACATAAATAAAGGTTATAGAACAATTTGAAGTGTTCAGACTAGAGTTAGACAAACTGAGTTCCATTTACAATTGAGCCAACTTCAAGTTCTAGAAGGTATTTGATCTTTTTAAAACATTTATAAGTCTATCTTCTGTAAAAATTTATCGATAACTGAAATTAATGAAAACAGGAGATTTTTCTTTTTCTGTTTAACTCAATATTCTGAGAGAAGTTAAATTATTAGAAAATGTGATAAAAATTTTTAAAGATCCTCATTGCAAACAAACAAGATTAGTTAGTTTTACATTTTAGAATAGGTCATGTTACACTTAACTACCTTTCAATTATTAAGAGCAAAATGTTTCCTTATCAATGCAAATATACATATCTACAATTACAAATTATATTTAAAGTTACTGTTTGCACTTCCAGATTTAAAATTTTTATAAAATCAAAAATATTTTCCTTGATTTTGAGCTTAAAAAGAGTGTATTAGATATCAAACATGTACGCCAATAGGAAATTCAAGCAAAACATCACTGAACATTTTGGTAAGATCAGGTTCTCATTAAAATTCCTGAAACTCAATTTTTTCAATGAACTCAGTGTTGATGAGGCTCTTAGTGTGTGACAAACGAAACTCACTAGAAAGTGATGTCATATCCATTACCACAAATAATTTTTTTTCAGTATTAAAATACCAAGAAGAATGTATTGGCACTGACATAGTACTGATAAATTTGGAACCCAATAAAGGGCAACTGAAAAGTCCAGAAATCATTTCACCCAGACTATAAAAAACCATGACGAATTCTTGATGACTTACACTATGGACTATAAAAATCATGAGTCCTAAATAGTTTTCTTTTCCCTAAATGATGCTTGACACCAAAACTTCATATTACCTAATTTCTCTTTTTCTAAAAAGGAAGACACCATCCTCATGATAAAAATATCCTGAAGAGAAAAAAAATTAATGCATAAATAGAAATAAACTACAATTCTAGGCCCTCATCACCTTTAGGCATGAGCACTTCTCTGATCTCCCAAGACTCATTTATTACTTCTCCAAGATAGGTTGCTTCTACAGATAGCCAAATAAACCAACCACCCCAGGATCTTCTGACCAGGTTTATTCTAAGAGTCTAAGTGCCAAATTCTAAGGGGCATCCAAAGTGACCTCTATAAACTGAAGACATTAAAAACAAACAAAAGGGGTGCCTGAGTGGCTCAGTGGGTTAAAGCCTCTGCCTTTAGCTCAGGTCATGATCCCAGGGTCCTGGGATCAAGCCCCACATCGGGCTCTCTGCTCAGCAGGGAGCCTGCTTCCTCCTCTCTCTCTGCCTGCCTCTCTGCTTACTTGTGATCTCTGTCAAATAAATAAATAAAATCTTTAAAAGAATAAAAATAAAAATAAAAAATAAATAAAAATTAAAAACAAACAAACCAAAAAACACTGTAAGAAACATATGTAAGCAACAATCATCTCTCAAAAGGCTTTACCACACAAGTAGGTTTATGTGCATCCAGTGTAAGATGTGATTATTTGAACTGTTACACACTAAACAATTGGAGCCTAAACTGGAGAGTGTCTTCTCACAAACACCAAAGATACTCAAATTAAAATAAATAAATAAATATATAAATACTGAGTTAAATCACCCAGAGAGAAGAGAACCATATACAACAAGTAAGTAATTTTAAAGTACCAACATTAATTTACTAGATGTCACTAACAGGTTAATAGTCATGTGTAACTATTTAAGTCACACAATGCTACCACTGCCTATAGATTAAAATAGCCTGGTAGGCAGAAAACTAAAAACTTGGTATGCAACTATGACTTACATAAGCTGCCTCAAGCAGATGCCATAATTGTCATCTTCATGCTATTCAAAGGCTTTCTAACAGTGAACCTTAACGTAATCTGACAATCATACAAAAGCTTGCCAAAGAAAAGATTTCAAAGTAGCTATACTATAGTACACAAGATGAGCAAAGAAATCAAAACTTATTAAATTCTTTAATATCATTAAATTGTAGCTGATAGTCATTATCTTCACTTCTGTTTAGGTATATATTTTTTAGATGACAAATCCCAAAATGAAAAGGAAATACAATTTTCTCCTTGGGAGCAGTTATTATTATCACCAATAAAAGAGAATTTTTCAGTAAACACAATAGTAAGCAAAATATCATATTCAAAGAAAAATCACAAAACAAAACAATAAAAATTAATCTGCTATCTCAAAGGTTTATACAATACTACAAGGAAAAAAGTCTATTTTCTTTACAAAATAATGTTCCTTTGAAGTAAATTCTTTCATCTGTATTCACACAAAGTAGGCAATTACCAAAATAACAAAGCCCCTGTGGGGTTATTTTATTCACTTATTTGCCAAAATCAAGGTAAATCACAGCATTTTTTTTTACAATAAAGCAAAATTTCCATTCTACTTTTTAAAGAATATTCTACACACTGGCAAAAATCTGCATAGAGATTAAACCTAAAAACAACCTGAAGAATGATTTTTTTTGAGCAGTTCTCCTAGGAAATCCCTACTTTGTAACCTAGAAGATCAGGATCACGTAAATTCAAAGAGCAGCCAGCAGGTGCCTAAGTATTTCTTCTTCAGCTTCAATGCCCCTGAAAGATGATTCACAGTGTGTTAGGACCTCTATAGAGTTCTTCACTTGCTGTTTTTCCAATACTTCTCCACCATACCTATTTAGTCTTCTGACCTCTAGACCAAAGTTCTAACATGGTATAACCACTCTGATACCTTTTAATTAATGACTAAACACATTTTAAGATCTTTTTATTTCCTCCATGCAAAACAGAATTTAAAGTTCTAGAAAACAATGTTTAGGGGCACCTGGGTGGCTATGGGTTAAGCCTCTGCCTTCGGCTCAGGTCATGATCCCAGGGTCCTAGGATGGAGCCCCACATCAGACTCCCTGCTTGGCAGGGAGCCTGCTTCTCCCTCTCCTTCCCCCAGCTTGTTTTCTCTCTCTCTGTCAAACAAATAAATAAAATCTTTGAAAAAAAAAAAAAAAGGAAAGAAAGAAACCAGCAAGACTAGCTTCCTATTGTGCTTTAGAAAATTTCCCTTTCTCTGGATTAATTTTATATAAAAATTCATTTTGGAACTTAAAAAGTTCCAAAAAAGAGCTAAAGATCCACTGCTGTAATTTTATTTAAAAGGAAAATTCTATAAGCAATGAAAAATAACACAAAGTTACAAAGTACATGAAAGGGTGGAAAAAATATTTGCAAGAATGGAAAATCTCCATAACACATATAGCAGTGAAAGGATTAAAGAATTCCAGTAAATCAATGAGAAAAAGACAAGCAAACTTATTAAGAAATGACAAAGGAAATGCAAGGCAAGTAACAACATAAAATGCAAGTGGCCACAAGATACCAAACTTCACTCATAATAACATGAACGCATATTTTAATCAAGTGATAATTTCCAAAAGATTGAAAGAAAATTTACTAATATGCAGTTATCAAGTATTTTGTACATTGCTGGTAAGAATATCAACAAGTACAGTCTTTCTGAAGATCTTTCTGGCAATTCTGTCTCTTTAAAATTTAAAACATACTTATCTTTAGATTCAGTAATTTCACTTCTAAGAATCGATCCCACAGAAATTATTACATGATTATATATGACACATATCTGTTAGTACTATATACAAGTGAAAAACTTAAAAGAAGAAAAATAAAGACATCGCGGTTGAACTATTCTATAGCTAACTATGTAACATTAAAAAGAATAATATATCCCATTTGTACTCACATGAAAAGAATCTCAATATTAACAGATTAACATATGAGTGAAATAAAGCAAGTACAGGAGGGAAAGTCCCACGGTATTTATCGCATTTATTTAGAGACAGAGACAGAGAGCATGAGCATATGCATATGTGATATGTGTTCATGTATGTACAAGGAAGCCTGCACAAAAGGTCCCCTGGGGAAGGGGCTCTCACTGGCCAAATTTGGACAATTTAGGTATCAGAAAGAGTAATATGGTAATAAATGATAATATCT